GGATGGGGGTCAGCGTGGGGGTCCCTCAGCACCAGAGGCACACGAGGTGCTCCCCACCCTGTCCTCCAGGCACCCCCCAGCTGACAGGCCACCTTTGCATCTTCCTAAAGCAGGGAGAAGCCCCCCGAGGCCTCACAGCACCCCCAGTGTGCACCACTGAGCCCCCCACCCCAAATCCGGAGCCCTCCGACCTGCTGGACGCTGCTGTGCTTGGAAGACACGGTGCTGTTGGAGCGGGACAGGGCTCTTTTCGGGGAGGACGGGTCCTTCTCGTGGCTTCCCATGGCTGGTGTGCAGAGGGGGCCGGGCCGAGCCCCCCTTCCCGTCCGTCCCGCGGGGGTGGGGGTCCGAGCTCGGCCCTCAGGGCGGGAGCCGCTGCCGGGAGGGGACGGCAGGTCAGGGAGCTCAGGGGGGGCTTCTCCACCCTCCCCATCCCGGCCCCCGCGGGGATGAGAAGTGGTGGGGGTCCCCCTGCCCCTCGGGGGGGGGGAGCCCTGCATGTCCCCGCCGCGGGCCCCCAAAAACTTCTGGGGGACCCGGGGCCTTTCCCCCCCCCCCCCCCGCCCCGGGCTTATCTCGGCTCCGCCGCCCGGTCCGGGTTCAGAGTCCAGCCCCGGCGCCCCATGGACCGGGTACCAGGGGCAACCCCGCGGCGGGGGCACGGCCCGGAGGGTGACACCGGTACAAAGACCGGGATCGACCCCGGTCCGTCCTGGCACCCCCCCGAGCCGGGACATGACCCCTCCAAACCCCTTCGCCCTTGCCGGTTCCTGAGCCACAGGGAAGTTTTTCCCCCCCCCGCCCTGCCATCCCCCCCGGCGCTGTCCCCGACAGGCGACCCCGGTATCCCGGCAGATGCTGATCCCGGGATAACCCCGGGAGGGCGGCCAAGCCCCGGTGCTGGCGACCACCCCGGCACCGGTACCCGCTGTGCCGGTAACTGCGGCACCGAGACACAACCACGGCACCGGCGACTCCCCGGCTCGCAGGGGAGGACACCGGGGGTCTCCCCCCGCAGCTCCATCCCTTCCCCTGCCCAGCCCCGCAGGTGCTGCGGGAGGTCAGAGCCGACCCCTCGCACCGCACCGGGGCTGTGCGGGGTCTCCATCCCCGGTGTCACCCCCCCCGGGAGGCGGCGGGGGCCCGGGGGTGGCGGGTCCCCCCGGTGCTCACCTGGGCGGGCGGCGGGCGGGCGGCGGGGGCCGGTCGCATCCTGCCCGGTGGCAGCAGGAAGCGGAACACGGAGGGCGGTGCGGAGCCGCTCGGCTCTGCCCCCTGCTCCGTGGAGGACCGGGAGCCGCCGGGATCGCCGGGAGCCGCCGGGAACCGCCGGGAACCGCCGGGATCGCCGGGACATCCCGCGCGGCACCGGGGCAGTTCCGCTCGCGGACCCCCGGGAGTCCCCACCCGGGACCAGCCCGCGGGAAAAGGGACGGCCCAGGAGGGGTGGGGGGGATTCCCGCGAGAGGCAGCACCTCGCGGGGGTCCCGGGGGTCACCACCCCACGGGGGTCTCAAGACTGAGCATCCCTCGGGGGTCTCAGGGGGGTCACCACCCCACGGGGGTCTTGGGACGGATCGTTCCACGGGAATCTCGGGTTTCACCACCCCATGGAGGTCCCAGGGACCGCCAGCCCATGGAATTCTCGGGACTGACCACCAATCCAAGGGGGTCCCAGGGCATTCCCACCCCAGGATTTCCCTTACCCACCCCCCAGCTCTGCTTCCCTCTGCTCCATCAGACCCCCCGAGCAGCCCCAGCCTCCCCCCACACTCTTGAGGAGCAGGACCCCCCCCTCCACACCCCCCCCCAAAATCCCAGAGAGGCTTCGGCATCTCCACACGGACACTTTAATGGACATGACTCTGGATCAGTGTTACAGCACATTCCCCCTCATCCTCATTCCAGGGGGGCTTGGAGTGCTCAAAACCCTCCTGTGGGCCCCCCCTCCCGCCGTGCTCCTCCTCCTCTGGCCAATCCCTGAGACCTTCCATCTCACCCTCAGAATATTCCCAGGAATATTCCCCAAGGGAAGGGCCAGGGCTGGGGGGCTGCAGGACCCTCAGTCCTGCCCCAGTACCAAACCTCCAACCCCTGATCCCTCCCCTCCTGCACAGCCAGGGAAGGAGCCAATTCCCAGGGCCCAGAGCCAGTGATTCCCTGTGCTTTGGGGGTCTCCCTGTGTCCTGCAGCTGGAGGAACCAATTCCCAGGGCCCAGAGTCAGGGATTCCCTGTGCCTTGGGGGTCTCCCTGTGTCCTGCAGCTGGAGGAGCCGATTCCCAGGGTCCAGCATCGGTGATTCCCTGTGTCCCAGTCTGGAGGGCTCTCCCTGGGATCCCCCATGTCCCGCATCCGGGGAAGGAGCCAATTCCCACAGTCTGATCTCCCACATTCCAGGCTGGGGTTGGGGGTGCTCCCCAGGTTCCCACCACATCCCACATCCAGGGAAGCAGCCAGTTCCCAGTGCCAGCCATTCCCTGTGCCCTGGGGGGGCTCCCGCAGCGGGGGAAGAAGCCGATCCCAGGGCCCAGCATCAATGATTCCCCTTTCCCTGCTCCTGGGGGGGCTTCCCAGGCGCCCCCGTGTCCCGGAGCCGGCGGATGTGCTCATCCAGGAGCGCTGTGAGGAGGGAGGGGCCACGCTGGAGCAGGGATGAGGTCTGGGAGGGCAGGAGGGCCAAGGCTCCCACTGTCTGCCCCTGGGAGGCCTCCAGGGACGGCAGCCGGGCGAAGTTCTCCACTCCCTGCCGGCTCAGGATCGTGTCGTCGATGCAGGCGCCTGGAAGAGAGCAGGATATGGGATAACAGAGCATTCCACCAAGGAACCGTTTGCTCCTTCAGGCTCCCACCCCTCGTTTTCACAGCGTGAAACCCTCATTCCCAGCCCCGGAGGAGCCCAGCGCCGGGATTTGGGGAGCAGGGAATGCCCTCACCCAGGAGGTTGACCTGTGGAACTCCCTTCAGCACCCGCAGCATCTCCCGGGCCCGGGTCTCCGGGCTCACCAGCAGGATGTTGCGGCACACGAAGAGCGGGAGGAGGTTCCTGTACTTGGACTGCGCCAGCACCGGCCGGACAATCTGGAAAACGCCTCGGGAATGAGGCCTGGAGCGGCCCAGGATGCACCTCTCCCCCTCCCACCTTCCCGCTGGGATCGGCGCCCACCTCGTTGAGGACGAACTTGACCTCGATGTTGTGCTTGCGCAGGTAGTGGCGCATGGTGACCACGTCCTCGTCCGGCATGGAATTGTACTGGCACACGGCCACCATGCGGCTGCTCCGGAACGCCTGCTCCACCTGCCGCCTCAACAGCCGGACGTAGCCGTCCTCCTGGGAGGGAGGGACACGGGGATACAGGGATACAGGGACACGGGGAGAGGGGGAATGGCTGCTGTGACCCCCCCCATGGAGACCCGGCAGCTACGGGTGGGAGGTGATGCCATGGATCTCGAGGTGCTCCCATGGTCCATGAGGTGATCCCATGGATCTCAAGGTGGTCCCATGGATCTCGAGATGCTCTCATGGTCCATGAGGTGATCCCAAGGATCTCAAGGTGCTCCCATGGATCTCGAGATGCTCCCATGGCCCATGAGGTGATCCCATGGTCCATGAGGTGATCCCATGGTCCATGAGGTGCTCTCATGGTCCTTGAGGTGATCCCATGGATCTCAAGGTGCTCCCATGGTCCATGAGGTGATCCCATGGATCTCGAGGTGCTTCCATGGACCTTGAGGTGACCCCATGGATCTCGAGGTGCTTCCATGGACCTTGAGGTGACCCCATGGATCTCAAGATGCTGTTATGAATCTCGAGGTGCTCCCATGGATCATGAAACTCTGCCATGGATCTCGAGATGCTCCCATGGATCATGAGATGTTTCTGTGGATCTCAAGACGCTCCCATGGATAGGGACCCACCTGCACCTGCTGGGGCATCTCCCAGCCACCCACAACATGCCAAAAAAGGGGATTACCCACCCCGGGAAGGTCTCACACCGGCTCCAGCCAGGCCATCCCTGGTGTCTGGGGATCGAGGGAATCCCTCCCCTCCCCAGACCCTGCGGACCCCGGGCAGGGCCCCTCCTCACCTCCTCCTGCGGGCGGTCCCTGGGCGGGGGGAGGCAGCGGGGGGGGCACAGCGGGCCGGGGGGGCACGTACTCGGTCAGGGCCATCAGCTTCTGCCGCTGGAAGTGCATGGCCTTCCAGTGCCGCGTCACCGCCTTGGAGCCGCGCCGGAGCAGCTGCAGCGCGGGCAGCCAGCCTGGGGGGAGCCGGGGCACCATTCCCATCCCTGCTCCCTGCACCCTTCCCATTCCTGGCCCCTGCCCCCTTCCCATCCCTGCTCCCAGCCCCCTTCCCATTCCCGGTCCTAGTCCCTGGTGCCTCTTCCTGTCCCACTCCCATTTCACTTTTCTGCCCTATTCCCAATCCTGATCCCTGCCCCGTTCTAGTTCCCTGCTCCATTCCCGGTCCCTGTCCCAGCCTCGTTCCCTGTCCCAGTCCCACTCCCATTTCCAGCCCCATTCGCGTTCCCTGCCCCATTCCCGTTCCCATTC